AATAATAGCAAAAGTAATCTAATAAAATGATTTCATAAGCATTACATTCTAAAATAATACTTATATTTTACTTGTAATGTAATTATAATGATTGTATATAAATGTAAGAAATATACAAAGTTTCTATTAAACTACAAACATGTTTTAGAGCAAGTAAGCTTACTAATAGTATTATTACAACATTACATGTGAGATACAAGCACTTAACTCTTATTATAATCTGCTAAAATTATATTATAAGTTATTTGTAACAATAGTTGATTGATTATAATAGTCATAAAAGTAATACATTGTACTTGTAAGTTAATTACAATACTTCTAGTAAGATAATATGCAATTATATATATTAATATTGATAACAATCACTCTGTCAGACTTATAAAATAATTTGGTTTTACTTTTAAACAATATATCGAAGTGATTACATAATCGAGTACTGAAGATCGAGCACATATAATGATGCACTTGCTCTCGTCACTCCTTTTCCTCCTACCTCCACCATCTCCCCAACCCTCTTCCCCCAACACTATGTTGTCACTCTTGTTCTCTCTATCCCAGTCCTCTGCCTACAAGCATCCTCCAGCAGGCACACTGCCTGCAATAAACATCACTGTATTTGTCTCTCTAATCTGCCACTGCAATGCCTGTGCTGAGCCTCAGATCCTGTGACGACACAACTGAGCTGGCTACACTGTCCTTCATCATAAAGCATAAGCAGCCAGTCCACTTCATAATAACTTGCACAATGGTTACTCACCCCTCTCCTCCCAACTTTTTGTCTCCCTTCCATCCCTCCTGCTCCTTGCTCCGCCGCTTGCGTTGCCTCTCCTTTGTTGTCCTCCTCTGTTTACACTTGCCTTCCTTTTTGCATTCGCATTCACACATCCACATTGTTGACCAATGCTGAACGACTTCTTCAATGTTTCCATACATTCACGTACTTCCTGCTCTGTAGTGCAAGCAACAGTTGACAAGCGTGTGCTCGCAACAATACCAACGTACAACCACTCCCATGGTATGACCCTCTCTTTGACACTGTACACACTCTCCTTCCCCACCCATTCCATGCTTAACGTCACTCTCAACAGGTCCACCCCACATGCATTTACATTCCTTAGTGCAGCAGACAACACCATATCAAACGGAAGCAGTGGACTGCCACTTACCCCTCCTGAGCAGAGTCTGTCAATACATTCCACTTTGCCTTCTCTGTTCGAGCTGGTACGTCCCAGAGATCAATCCACAACAATGACTCAGTTCACTGCTCCTCCAATTGCACGTCACAGTCAGAATATGTAGCATATGCGTACTGATACAGCTTTGTCTGCAGCCTGAATCAACTTGTTCAATGCTCCGGATCTCAACCTGCATGCACCACTCACACTCACTGCATGCCGTCACAGTACGTCCACCTTTTCTCTCCTATTGATACTTACTAACTACTCTAAACCTGTCTAACAGGTGCAGCCTCAACCTCCACAACCTGCTCGACCTCAACCCACACGCACACGCAATTTGACTCACAGGTCCCGAGCGACAGCCAAACGTGGTGACAAAGACTACATCAAACAGCCTAAGGATGCGTTCATCCTTTTCCGACACGAATTCTGCTCACGAAAGAACAAGGCAGAGGCTGCTAGTGGTGCAGGGGTCAGGGACTGTAGAAATAATGTATCATTTATTATTTTGTATTAAATAATTAAATATAATTATATTTTATAAATTATTT